ACAGACGCCAAGAGTTTGTCTCTCACTTTTTCCCTACTTTTTTTTTTTCTCTTTCAACAGAGAGGTCACGCACATGAATCAACTCCAAAATTTGCAAATCGCCCGGGGTGAGTCACGACATTAAAATGAAGTGGCACCATAATGAGAGACACAGAGCTGAAGTTCACTGTAGCTGTTCATTTATCCAATCACACAAGTATGCACCGGGCACCATTTCAAAGATGAAAACATGGAAGATCCTCAGCGGCACGTCTGTGATGTGATTTACTCAAATTGTGCCTGGTGCCATGTCCGCGCCGAGTTTAAACAGTGTGTACAGTCCACACAAAAGTGCTTACTACTCAGATTTAGTTTAAGTGCATCCGGAAGGCCACATTTGATGAAAACTGTTACTCTGAAATTCAAACCAGCTTATAGTCGCTGCTTTGAAAGCAACATTTTTGTGGCATAAGTCACATTTCATTCAGTACGTTCCTCCTTCCTAGTTTCCGCATTACTGATGCAAAGTAAGCTTGTAACAGAAACTGGAGGAGCACAAAAGTATGCATACTTAACTGCAAAAATATCCAGTGATGAGCTTTGTCTACCGACTGCCACTTAATAAAGCAACATACCAAGAATACTACACTCTAGGAATAAAGGTAGTAGAATCAGTATTTCTGGGAACCACTGCTCTAACAATCCATATAAATGGTAAATAAGGTAAGGTAAGGTAAAATTAAAAGAAAAAAAGAAAAAAAAAGTGGCTTTTTTATTACATGATAACAAATCTGAGCTCCTTTCAAAGACTTCTGCAGTGGAGTTGCAGCATTAGGTCTATGTGACAGATGAATATGGTTGTTAATGGACAGCAGATGTCAGCAGTGTGCTGCTGTGTCTGATGTGTGAAAACGTCACAGATCAGAAAGACCTCCGTAGTAAAAGTCTAATTAAAATCTATGCGATAGTTCACCATGGCAATGATCAGCTCTTCATCTACAATTCAGGTTTCTTCTAGATACCAAAATGCACTGCAGAGAAGCAGAGTTCTGCTTATAATGAGCTCTATAAATGACTGTGTTTGTGTACAGCTGTCACGAAGTTTTTAATCGAACTTATTTTCCTGATGAGTAACACAGACTGGCTCAAGGAGCCAGGCTTCTAATTGAATCCAGAACGTCAGTCACGTGTGGATCCAAACAAACACACCCATGGATCTGTGAGCAACTTATTCCAACTTTCTGACTATCTGCATGCTGTTCACACCCTCAACAGACAACGCCCGAAAAAAGTCTGTTTTGCACACCCGGAGATATAACATTTTACATGGTGGTTTCAGCAACAACTTGCTTTGCTCGTGGAAGTTATGAGACGTTACATATCATATCCAAAACTCTGGAGTCACATGAATGTGCCTCAGCATCATCAGGATTTAACATGAGCCATATGAGTTTCACTTCAACAAAAGCTAACCGCAGCATCATGTGCCACTTTTATTTCTCTAAACCAGCAAAGGAGGATGGCGCACAGTACTGTGTTGACTTTACCCACATAACTCCCATGTTAATGCCCTTTGCATAATGGAATGCAAAGGGCATGCATATCTCTCCAAAGAAAAAACAACCCTAGAACACAAACCAGAGCCAAGAACACAGCCTGACTAGAGCAAAGAGACTACTAAAGACTAATACTCCCAAAAGGACCACACCTCTCTTTTTCTGGCTTTAACTCACGGTTAGCCGTCTCTGCAGGGAACAGGCGAGGCTGGATCTCACTAAAACAGCCCCACCTAGTTGGAATGGCTGCAGATCTCACTAATCCTGCTGGCAAACACTCAGATAGCTCCAGAGATAACTGTTACCACTCACAACAGTGAGTATAATTGATTACACAATTCAATCACAATTCCCCACCCTGGAAATGTGGGAATTTTTCTTGTCATTTGAATTGTTTGTTAAAAATAAAAACTGCTGCTGATGCATGTGAAAACTTGAAAGAATAGCGGTAAATTATTTTTTGAGTGTTTACCACAGCAAAAAACACAGGAACCTGTGAAATCTGACAGCAGGAGGACAACAAGGGGCAAGCACTGTGTCAGACACTTTATCTCTTCTAACACAAAGCTAATTCAATCACAGCCACATCTCAAAGGTCTCCTCACCCTCTCACTGAAACTGTTCCTAAAAGAGGCTCCCTCTGCACCACATCACAAAATAGACTCTGGGCTTGGTAACATGTAACTTTAAGCCATAAACTGTAATCACAACACCCCAAATAATACTTTGAATGGGAAGTCAAAGACAATTACAGAATGGTAATGCTATTCAAGGTACATAAGTGCAGAGCACCAACAGTGCACCCTAAAACCTCAAATGCTTTGAAGAAAGGTGGGAATCTAGACTCAAGAGTGATTGCATCACAGAGACATTAGAAGTAGGTAAGCTGGCACGCATTCAAACAAACCTTCCATGAAGTTAGGCCATGTCTTCTCCTCTGGCTCCCCCAGTGAGTGGTCCCAGTCTACCTCTGGTGAGGCTCCTCGCCCCTTGCCCCTTGCCACCTGTGCCAAGACTGCCCGCTCTATAGCAATTTCTTGCAGAACATCCAGGTCCAGCTCCTCGCCTTCCTCCTCAGACTCCACAGGTGGAGGTGGTGACTGCTGTCCAGCTGCCTCCGGACTAAGGAGCTGCTTTACTTCAACAATCTCCTCCACTACTACTATTTTCCTCTTCATGGTGGCCTCGTCTATGTCAGATGTTTCAAACTTGCAGGTGTCCCGCTGGTGAGGCTGGTCAGGACGGGTCACGGGCGTGGCGGTGGCAGAGGGTGTGTCCTCTATCAAGTCCCTCTTCTTCTCTCCCTCCTGCGTTAGGGCCTGAGAAACAGAGAGCCTTTCCTCTGTGCTGCACTCTGCTGCCCGAGCAGCCGAATGTTGTGCAACTTTGGGAGGCTCCTCTTGCTCGAAGAGTGGGCTGGCCTGTGCCTGAGCTGCAGCTGGCTCTGCTGTTAGCGCTCTTGCTGCTGACGCTAATTCTCCGGCTGTGGGTGCTTCCCTCACACTGGAGGATGTTTCTGGTTTTGGAGCCTCCCGCTTGATTTTTTCTGCAAAGAGCAGGGCTGGCTCCACCTCCCTTTTGTCTGCTGGGGCCTCAGAGAGCACAGCTGCTGCCTGCCTGACTTCCTCACTGCACATTCTTTCAAGAGTCATCTTTAAAGAAACATTAGTTTCTGTCAGTCCGGAGGCCATGTCAGGGCTGTCTTTAACTGCAGCTTCATGCAGGGGTGTAGTGTCAGTTGATGGCAATGTTTCTGCTTCAGGCAAAGGGACAGGATTTGTGTTTATATCCTCCAACTCTGGTTCTTTAGGCTGCTTTCTACCTTTTCCCTTCTTCTTTCCCTTTAAAGGTTCCTGTGTAGCTTTCTCTGTATTTATGGCGGATTTAGCCTCAATTGTGGGTTTCTGAGGTTCTGACAGTGGGGCAGGGTTTCCCTGCTCAGATTTAGGGCTTGCTTTCACGAGCTCCACTCCACTTATTTTCTGCACTGTCACTGTTTCCACTTTGGTCACAGTTATTTCCTCAGATTTCACTGGCTCCATATGGGGCGACGTAACATTTGACTCGCCCTTAGGGGATAATGGTCCCTGTGAAATCTTTCCGGCATTGCTTTCCTCAGACTTCTCTTTTATTTGTCCCTCCACTAGGGGCGCTGCAGGAATCTGTCCTAGTGGCAGTGAGGCTTCTTCTGAATAAGCTGTTATTTGTTTGGGGAGATCTTCTGTTTTCTCTCTGTCAGTATGTAATTTAACCTCGTTTGTCTTTGTTCCCTTTGAGCAGGTAGACACAATTAAAGGCTCTGATGAAGCCACTGGTCTAAGTTCAGTCTTATTTCCAGGTGATCCCTCAGCACTCTCGACACTCTTCAAGGCCTCAGCTTGAGATTTCTTTTTCTTTCTTTTTGATTTTGAGCCTCCCTCGACCGCTTGTTTGGTTTCTTTAAGCACCTCTGTGGTGACAGCATTTTGAGGAGGCTGAGATGTATCTGATTCATCTTGCACTTTTACTGTGGGCTCCTGCACGGAACCTTTAGGGGCTTCTTTTCTGACTGGGGGAATCCCTTTTGAATTAGTTTTCTTCTCTTCTGCAGTCATCTCTGCAGCTTTTGCCGTGACAGGCTGTGCATCTTCAGCATTGGTCAAAGGTGCTGCGAGAGTTGCTGTGGTAATGGTGGATTTGACTTCAAGTGTTGAGGATTTCTGTACTGTAGTAATTTCTAGGGACACTTCATCAGTTTTAGAATCTTTAACCTCATTAATGGAGCCCTTTGGTTTGCTTGTGGCGCTGTGAGGTTTGGCTTTGGCAGTCTCCTGAGTGGCAGCTGCATCTGTAACTTTTTCTGCTTTATCATTTATAATTTTAGACTCAGCTGAAGCTGGAGGGGCCTTCACCTCTGTGGGTTTAATCAATTCCTTATTTACTTTAAGCTTTGTTTCTTTGACAGAGCCTGTTGAAGTGACAGGCATTACTTGTTGGGGCTTTACTTGATCATTGGCTGCTGTAGCACTCACATTTGCAACTTTAACTGGATCCACAACCACCATTTTCATTTTGTCTTCTTTGGCATCAAAATCAGGAAGCATTGTGAGAACTGGTTTGCTTGTAATCATTTGAGTAGGCTTGATTGACGTTTGTTCCTCAGCGATATTAGGCCAGTCCTTGGTCTTCATTTCCTCGTTTGTTTTGGGAGCAGAGGGCTTAGCTGGAATCTTTGATGCTGTAGCACCTGTGGCCTGAGCAACAGCAGCCACAGCTAATGGTAGGGCTGTTTTGGAGGATGTCAGAGTGGTCTGTGACACATCCTGCTTCAAAGCTGCTGTCTGAGCGGGAGCAGAACTTGTTGGCTTCTCTTTTTCGACCTCCAGTGCTCTCCTCTTTTGTGGTGATGCTATGGGATTCTTGCTGTAAACATCAAGCTCCTGGTGAGTGGCTCTTTTCCCCCTGTTATCCTCCATCATTGCTGTTTCACTTCTGAAGCTGCTGGTCTTCCTAAAAACGTCCTGAGGCTGGCCCTCCACTTCCCATAAGGCCTTTTCTCTGGCCGGTTCTCCAGCCAATGGGCGACCCCTGAACCTCGGGGTCCTATCGGGGTTATTCTCTCTTTCTCCAGAACCCACCATCTTATGGCGGTAGCCTTGGCGCTCTGCTAGTTCCTCTCTTCTTTCTGCTTCAGCCCTGCGTCCCGGCTTAGGAACATAAGATGTTGGACCTTCTACAGATTGGACCCGTGCAGCTCGGTGAGCAATGGCCAGAGTGGCGGCCGGCTTCCTAATCCTTTGCAGGGTGGCAGGAACAATTTCAGTGGGCAGGTGGAGGTAGTCACGCAGGTAAACAATGCCATCATTGGTCAGGTACCAGTAGAAATGTTTCCAAGCAAATGTTTCCTTTACATAGCCCCTGGACTTAAGAGACCCCATGGCACGAATTACTTGTAGGTTGCTTACACTTTGTACTTCTGGGTGTTTGATCTGCGGCCTCTTATCCTTCTTAGCCACCATGACACCATCTCGAAACAGGATCTCGTAGATGGCCCTCAGGTCATGCAGGGGCATCAGCATTCCAGCAACCATTGTTGTTTGATTCAGTAAACTCTCTCAAGTGAAACTAAAATGCACAATGCCAAACAAAGAGAACAGCACCTCACGCTGTGTTGTGAGAAAGAGTCAAGTGCCAAGACCGGCTGGCACGTGTTTCTTAATTCAATAAGGGAAAGAAATCCCTGTAATGATTTTTCCTTACTGTCTCTTCTCCTTGCTCTTGTCGATCCTTTTGTTGTAGTGAAGAAAATAAATATTCCTCTTTTAATAAGTTTAATGCCCCCCCCTACATTCAGGGTGGCTGAGAATGAGCAGTCTCTGTTCGGGCCGAGATGGCAATGACAGAATGGAAGAGAGGGAGTGTGTGTGAGTGTGAGAGAGAGAGAGAAAGAGAGTGAGAGAGCAAGGCACACACTTCTCAGTCTGGCTCCTCCTACCTTCTCTCTCTTTCTCTTAGGAAAAAACTGTCATGGAAAAAAAATCGCACTAGAGTAAATAGTACAGCAGGAAGCTAGAAAGAGAGGGGGGAAGAGTGTCTGCAATAAACTGAAATAAAATTCGAGCAAAGTCAAATGAATGGATCAACACACCTATGGAGGGGGAGCACGTGATCTACAACTCTATGACTTTTATGAAGAGTCCCGCCCACAACCAAAAGCAAATGGCTCCTACTCACATGCAAACACACACACACACACACACCTCTGAACGCACACTAGGACTGAGTGGCACACACCCTCTGGCGTGTGATGCACACCGGTCCAATGAATGGGCTGTTCTGTTCAGCGAGTAGATATCAGAAAGGAAGATGACTAGCTGGCATCCATCCGATCCTGCCCATGCAAGTTATTAAGTACAAGGTGTCTTTAGCTTTACACATTTCACGATCAGGTTTCAGTGAAGAGCTTTTACTATTCATGCAGGGCATGGTGCTCACATCTCATATGACACAGTCTTAGAATATATCATGAAGGCTGGTGACATTTCAAGAGAAACTACATAAATCACAATAATGTACTCTGGCTGGACTTTGCAAGGATATGAAAGGAGATGACTAAACTCTTACTAATTATCTAATATGACCCATGCCTATATAATAATAGCAAAACTAACGTTAAGTTTAATTCTATTCTTATCTTATGTATTCTTATCTGTGTTTGTTTTGGGGGTCTCCAAGCCGACAAGAAAAGAAGGCTAGACGGGCCAATCGGTGTTTCCTTTGCAGCTCATTAAAGTGATGCAACAGGCTGTAAAGCAGCCTAAATTTGCACTGCTACTTCAGACAGTTAATATTAGAGCTGGGAAAGAAGAATCTATCTTGCACAACTATATAAAGAACTATGCATTATAGCTAACCTTTTCACCACTCCCAGAAACATGATATCAGTTTTCTATCCAGAGATCACTTCTCTCCCCTGTACATCTGTCTCCTGTTCGTCTCCTAGTGTCAGAGAGAGTGATCACTTGCGACCAGCGTTCAGCGAAAGCCAAACTGGAAGGAGACCTTACAATTGTCGCTTACAGCACAGTAGCATGTGTTCGTTTGTCTGCGCTGCAGACAGTGATATACTCATGAAATTATAGTGGTAGTGAATGGGCAGAGATGAAATGACGCATTCCCCCCGGTGTTTGAAACCACACACACTATTACACATACAAACACAGACAGAAAACTGTTTTAATTTTTTTTACCATGGCAACAGTCAAATGAAGTAAGCCAGTTCTGAGTAAGCCACATATCCGCTTTCAGAGCTGCAGTGGAGAAGCTGGCCATAAATCTGTTGGCTAGGCAGCTGGACCACTGTGTCAACTTATTAGACTGCTATTTGCAAGGACGTCATTATCTCATCATTATCAAAACAAGTTATTATCAGGTTATCAAGCTTTCATCAGTAATCATGAAATCAAAAACATGTCATGGCAAAATAAGTTTCTTTTTAAAGACTATATACAAATGTAAAATACTGACATATTAAAATAAGGGAGACACCCCCCTCATAACTATCGCTGGACCTCTTGTAAACCCGACTAACGCCTTTACTAATCTACTATCTAATAACAATTCCTTTCACACAGGATTTGTGCAGTTGTCTGTTTTGACATCTCTCTCAGACTGGGTGAAGCCTTAAGCCATGTACTCCACCTACAGTATATACCCTGTTATCTTATGGTATTAACTTTAGAGATGTATGTACAGTCAGTGATTCAAAAAGCAGGGAGGAGTATTCATTCGGAGAACATAGACTTTTTCGGTTTATGGAACAAGGAAGACATTCCTCTGACTTGCGAAACAAACGTCTGCCTGACAGGGAAGTGTATGTGCATGAAAGAATCCTAAGATATCTGTGTGAGTGAGCATTTAAACCACATTAGGCTGCAGTCTAAGGCCGTGTTTGCTTCACCAAGGCAATGCCAAACCATTTTGCATGTATTCAAAAGTCTAGCAAAAAAAAACACAGGCGCTAAAATACAATGAAAATGAAGAACACCAAAAAGGACCCAAGTAGTTGAGCAGATGAAATCCTACATCAAGGAGGAATCTGCTTTCTAAACTTACAGCAACTACTTCCTTACATTTCTTACTTACTTATTTAAAAAAAGATATCTCAGTTGTTGTTGGGTTGTTTTTAATTAGGGATTAAATGCAAATCACAGTTTTTATATCATTTGTAGCCACTACGATTTAAATTGCAAGCCCTAAAACAATCTCACTGGGGGAAATTGGCATCAGTGTGTAGGGGTGCCTTGCCCTCTGTGTTGCATATCACTGTGATTTCATGCACTGTTTATGCACAAAGTGTTCAGTGAACTTCAAGCCCCTGACAGTGACCCTTATCCTGGCTCAAGGCCCGACCTCTTCGGCCATCCAAATATTCGATTGTCACACTTCAAAAGAAACACTGTATCACCAGGATTTGCTGCTGCTGCTTTTCAAAGGGAGTTGCTGGTTTCAAAAGCTATTTACAGGCTTGATGTGGCATTGTCAATTTTTGTAATAAGAAGCAGACTACCAGAAGGGAATGTCATGGCAATACAGAACTAATCTTATTCAGGCTATAAAAAGAACAAGAGCAGACCAACTACAGAATGAATGCCAATGTGATTGACTGAAATGGAGAAATAGGACTTTGGGGAAGAGTTCCCGAAGAGTTTCCTGGTTAGGAGTCTGCTCCTCCTGCTATGTTTCAGGCCTCCACCAGTCCCAAAATAGACTTGTCAGCACCAGCTGATGGTGGCTGGCTCATGGCCCAATGTAAAGGGCTTCACAGGTGCCCTCCACCCTCATATCAGATCCAAGCCACTCAAGGGAAAGCAAAGGTCAGCAAGGCCTTTCTTATCCACCAATGTAAGAACGCTCATTACAATAAGTTAAAAAAACTAAAAACGCCTTCTAAACTGCAGCAGGAAAGATAACTCGTTAAATTGACTGATCCTCCAAATAAAAAACACACATACTGTTTCATATGAAATGTTATATTTGAAACTGGGCAGAGACAACTATCACGTTATTATGATTCAGGGTAAAGTCCACAACCGGCTGTAAAACAAAAAGTCCAAAATACTGTAAGCTGGTAATGAAAGCACACTGAAGCATTTGAGCTGACTGCGTTGCCAGATGAAAACGTAAAAAGTTACAAAAGCACAAATCAAAGTGTGGCCCTTAGTCTACCCTAAGTTATGACTTGTGTCTCTGTAGTTGTGACAAATTGTTTTGTGATGCACGAGAGCTCATTTTTATCCAGATGATAAGCCCGTTTTTATTTGAGGAGCTTGCCTCTTAGCTGTGTATGGTTAGGCAAGTGACTCCATAGTCTGAGACAGCTGTGGCCCCTGACATAACTGGTGCATGTTAGAGCCCAAACACCCGACCTAGGAATCTGCTAAAGTTAGAGGTTGTTGTGAACAACTTTATATGGAGGTTTCTGACTGCCGCCAGTGTATTTATAGGCTTTCTAAGTAATTAGAGTAATTCAATTAATGAACTTGGTCATAGCTGAATTATTTTGCCCTATCTTTTTGAGCCACCTCCACAAATACATAGAAGGATGCTGGCCAAGTGGTTTCCGTCACAGTCAATAATGCTCAGAGACACGAAGGGGCAGGCTAGTTTATCACATTTATCATTTATCAGTTTATTAAATATGCAGAATCACCACAATGCTTTTCATGCACTGTCTTTGCCTTAGGTCTTGCAGCGAGTTTTGCTTAGGGCTCTGAAGACATTTTCATTTAAAGGCTTCATTGTAACCGTGTTACCTAGACATTTATTAAATGAACTGCCATGCATGAAGTTGAAAAAAGAAATAACATAGCAAAAAGACATCCATTGGATATTTGGTTTGTTATTTTGTTCTAGTGTTCCTATAAGTTTGATTCTTTAGTTTATGACCAACAACATAACCTGCGGACATAATCTGTATTTAGCTCTAACTGTTAAATGTTAGCTTGCTCACATGCTAAAATAAGATGACAAATGTTCAGCACATACCTGCGAAAATTCACTGTGCCAGAATCGTCACTGGGAGAATGTATTCATGCAGAATGCTACATTTGGATCTGTATACGTCAGATAGAAACATCTGGAACTGAAAACTGAAGTCAATGTGGACTCGCTGACTCAAAGAGTGAGTTAATCCCCAATAACACTCCTGTTAAAACTCACATTTTTGTAATACTCCTTTTTATAACGATTGTATGATGGTTAATTTAAAAAACAAAACAAAAAACCCCCCAATAATAATAGTAAATAAACGTTTTAAACTTATCCCAAAAGGTTGATTCAGTTCATCTGGACGTAGCGTTTTTCAGATAACTGTGCTCCAGTTTGGGGGAAAACTTCTAGGATTTTGTCGAACTACTCAGCAATGAGTGGCCAATTTTTATGTATTCATATATTCATTCATAATATATGACTTCTATGCCCAAAAATAAAGCTATAAATAAATTATGTAGCCAATCTATATATAAATTTGTCTTTACTATTGTGAGAACCTGGCATATGAAGCCTTAATCGCATCACTAATATAACCCATCACTAATATAACCCTCGCAACAACCTTGACTGATTTCTGGATGGGTCAGCCTGAACAACAATTAGTGCTTAAACAGGCAGACAAACAAACCTTTGAAATGCAAGAAGAG